GGTGAAATTAGTCGATTTTCGGCGCCTTGCCAGCCCGCAATTTGCGCGCAAAAAGACGGTACTATCGCGCAAATATCCGCAATTGCGCGCAAATTCGAAAAGTGTGCGCATGTATGCGTGCGTTTTTGACCTTTTAATTAGGCAGCAGATGTCTAAAGCGCCCGAATTGCCAACCAACAGATCGGTTTTGAGCCACATGTGGTCGTCGCTTGAAGCTGTGCCACTTGCAAGAGACGTTCGAATTTCTTGCAATTTCAAGGAGTTGAAACTTGTTTCACTTGACTGTCAAGCTGGCTTGGCAATGTTGAAGGCTATTCCCGACAACCGCTCCGTTGGTAAATAGCCAAAATGCACTCTGGTTCTTTGGATCATCTAGTTCTGGCCGATTAGGCGCATGTATCCTTGCCTATAGTTGTTTTTGAACAGCTTGACAGGTTCATGTCCAGGCTATACACACCCCGCACCTTTTTCAAACCAGCCAAAAACGCCTCGCGCAGTTCTTGGAACTTTGCGCGTTTTTTGATTGAAACGCGCACTTTTCCGTTGTGCGCACTTTTTTTTGCTCAAATAAAGATGCAGGTATCCTAAGCTGTGTTTGTTGAGTCTTCCTGGAGCAGGAGTGAAGCCCGCTCGTACCTCGGTCGAATGACGTCACTATCTGGGAATCTGCAGCGAAGAAAGACCCCAGAAGCAACAGACATGCAAACGCAAGCACAAAGTCCACGGCTGCAAAAAACCAGTGGTAGCAAGACTCAACAATTCTCTTCGGCTTTCCAGAAGGACACCTTGCCATTTCTACAATTGGCTCCACCATGGACCCTTTTGGGGCGCTTGATGCCACAGAATCCTTTGCAAGGAACCCCGAGCTGCCGAAATGAGAAAACACAAGGCATAGCCACGTCTACCAGTACCAGACAAAGTTTGGAGCAAGCCGCTTGCAGACCCCGCGAATCGAACACGCTCAAAGGCACCTAAAAAAAGTGTCATCCCGCCCTTGTAGGGTGTTTTCAGGACCCCCCCCCCGCCCTTTTATTAGGAAGCACCGGACAAAGTCGACGACGTCTCTCGGGGCAGGAGTCGCTTGCGTCTATCGGACGGACCATCCGAGTGGCCGGGGCTGTCCTGGAGCTGCAGGTCCATGAAGTACATGAGCACGTCTGTGGCGGGCCTGCGAAAAGGGCGGTCGAGAAGGACCTTCCCGTCATTTCTGTGGCCACAGGCGAATTAAAGCTCCAAGTGAACCGGACCAGCGAATTCTCACTTACTTTTAGTGGCTCAATGAAAAACCCATTAGTTACTAATTAGTTGGTAAAATGTCAAAGTCCTAACATCCAAGCAAACCAAAGAATTGGAGTTCCAAATTTGGACGAACATATTCCTACCTTTGCTCACTACAATCGGTAGCTCCGAAAGGCTCCTTTCTTTCGCACGTTCGCATACCCCGAGCTCCATAACGCCTCCCTTCCCACCAGCTGGCTCAGTTTTAGGGGACCCTTGTTGGGCTCCATGCGAATCAGAGGAGTATATAGTTGGCGGTGGTTGTCAAAACCGTTTTGGGATCCCATTTTGGTTGGCAGGTGAATTCGCCATCCATTGTAGTCTATTTTGGTGGTTGGATTGGTTGATGTTCACTGGGGGTACGATTTGGACTTTGACCCATGGCCAGTTGAGTGGGGAGGGCTTCAGTATGAAAGCTCCGAGGCTGCCAGTTCTTTGGGGGGTACGCGGCTCCCGAAGAATATCCCACTTAAACATCCAGGAACCGAAAATTTCAAATGGCCCCAAAAGACGATCTTTAAAGCCACCAACGTTGGACATATGGGTTTGTCTTCAATCAGGCGGTACCTCAAACAATGGGGGGTTTTCCTCTTGGTTCTCCTTTGGAAAACAGCAGACTGACAAACCTATTTCGGGGGAACCCTGAAACCAGTCGGGATCCCGGCATGCGCTGGAGCATGGCTTTCCGCACCTTTCCGCACATCGCCTAGGGCGTTGGGCGTGTCTTTGGCCGTGGCTCAAACAAATGCTAGCCAGATTGGCACCTTGGTGGAACCAAAGACTAAAACCTGCAGTTTGCCCTAGCTCTTTAAAACTTGAGTACACACCCTCATGGGAAAGAAGCCCTTCCTATGATACAGAGATGAAGTTCTAAGGGATTCCCCTTATCGCAGAGTTGTCATGGTGGCAAACAAACCCACACCCAACATGGGATTCCCATGCTGCCTTTGTCACTTCGGACATAGAGTGATACCCTTCTGGGAGTATTGAACCTGGGCCCAACTATGTCTTCAAGATGAAACCCTCTTTTAGGTTTCTGGGGCCATGTTGCCGTTGAGACATCTGGCCCCAGCCGCCAAGCCCTTTTGTCTTTGACCATCTGGGTCGTCTCCACAGCTGCCGTTTTGCTCTAAAGGGAAGCCCCTCCAAAACCAATCAGCCAAGTTAGCACCGCTGGAAGCCTGGATTAGAGCAATGAACCATCTAGAAACTGCATAGGGTTGCCCTAGGCGCCGATGGCTTTCTGTTTGCCAGTGAATACCAACGGGTAAGGCGAGACTCCAGGAGTTTTTTCAGGCAACATGGGGCAACTGATGAGCCACAACATGAAAACGAGCTCGGTGTGGACTTTCAGATTGGTTTCGTGTTGGTTCCTGCTGAACACCGGCCATTTCGCACATGGCATAATAGGGAGTGGGCCTGTTCAGACATTTGGTTGGGGTTGTCATAGACCACAAAGAACCCTGCCCCCTCCTTTCCCCCTGGCTTGTTCAAGCCATGACCATCCACCCCCCAATTGGGAACCCCCAAAGCTGGACGGGTTGCCCGGCTTCAGTTGCCACCATGAAAACAATGGTTGTGTTCATATCACCATTCTCAAATTGGGCCAACTTGCCCTTATTTTCCCTCGGCTCGCTTCTTGGTTTCTCAAACCCTCAGGTAACCCCTGGTTGGTGGTCTGGATTGGGTGGTTTGGGGATTTAAACCCCTGGATCTTGTAGAGGGTAAATGAGAAACACCTCCTGAACCACCGCCAATCCAAAACCACCAAGAGGGAAGTTGAAACCCTTTCCTGAGAACCGAGCCAAACACCTTCCAAAAACAATTTGCTGGTTCATCCAACCTATGACTTCCCTTTGTTTAAGGGACACCAAAAAACGGATCATTCCCAACACCTGGACTCGTTGTCATTTTCCCTACCTCTCGCACCAGGTTTCCGCTAAACACATCGTCCCCCATGACTCCCCTGTTGCGCACGAAGTGTTTTCCTTTTCTGACATCCGAGCCACGTGTTTTTCCCGACCTCTCGCAGCCAATACAAAAAAATCTTCCAACACGCCGTGCCCATAGGTGGCCTTGGAAAAATAGATGGTCCTGGGAAACGAAACAAAACCCATCTAAACCAGTGCCATCTAGTTTTAACCAAGCTAAGCTAAAAAGGGATCCTTACATTTTACACCTGAACATTGCCTTGTAAATGGTGGTTTCCCTTTATTTTGGTGTTGAAAAAGCCACATGTTTCAAATGGTTGCAAAACGGAGATCTTTTAAGGAGCCCTGCTAAAACGGACGCCTATGCCCGCCCCGCGCGCCTTGCCGGCGAAGGTGCCGCTGAGCTCCAGCACTGCTTCCGCCGACTGCAGGGAGGCCTGGGACACGCGGACGGACCAAGGAGCTGGGACAGCGCCGGGGCTGGAGACGGGGGCAGCTTTTGAGGGTCCAACCGCTTTGGGCTTGGCTCACCTGGTCTTTTTAGGGGTCGCCCTACGTTTCCTTTTCGTGGTTGACGTTGGAAGGGGAGCAAACAAATGAATAATAATAATAATACTAATAATAATGATGATGATGATGATGATGATGATGATGATGATGATGATGATGATGATGATGATGATGATGATGATGATGATGATGATGATAATAATAATAATAATAATAATAATAATAATAATAATAATAATAATAATAATAATAATAATAATAATAATAATAATAATAATAATAATAATAATAATAATAATAATAATAATAATAATAATAATAATAATAATAATAATAATAATAATAATACTAATAATATATTATTTATTTATTTTTTTAAAAAAAAGCAGTTAAATGGTTGGATTTCAACCACTGAACCACAATAAGCGAACATGTAAGATGTGTCCCAACCATGTTTTGGGGTTCCAACCGCAATTTGGGGTCGGCTGTTTTGGGGTTCCAACCGCAATCTGGGGTCGGCTCAAAGGGAAACCAAACAGAAAAACCGGCCTTTTCCAGGGGTCGCCCCATTCTGAGACAAACCTGAATGCGTATCGAAACAACGAGACCGCATTGCATGTCCAAAACATCTGCCAAGCGAAGCTTAATGGGCCTAAAGCTGATGTTTCAACCGCAAAAAGCAAAAAGTAAGTATCGGGACCCTGCCCAAAGTAGCCTTCCTTTTGGCTTCCTTTCAACCTGGAACTGGCGTTGGTGTGCCTGGGCGCGAAATGGCCGTCGGTATAGACGTTCACAGGGATCCCCGACCAGAGCAAAAACCCGGTGGTTCAATCAGGCGATCTTCCACGCTGCCACGGCTCTCACCACAAAAACAACTCAAGTCGAAAACATGCCAGGGCTTCTTGAAGGCACGTTGACCAAGCCCACAACAAAAGTTCACAACAGCCCCGGCCACATCCACCTGAGACGGAACCCTGGGCCCAGGGCGGGCTGGTTCTGGAACCGCTCCAGGTGGTACCCCGGCCCAGAGGCGCTTTGGCCCGCAGCCTGCAAATGGTGTGTGCGTGTGAGCCGATCCCAATCCAGAACCCCTGTTGGAAAACGTGTTTTGTTTTTTTGGGGGGGGATGTGGGAATATATTCATAGTGTATATACATATATAAATAAATGTAGCCCCTGGACTGAACACACCATTCCCAGACAAAACGGCTACTCCCCACAAGTTGAGAAGTTACTTTTGGGCTCAAACGGGTCACGACCTCCTCAACGCGCATGTTGTTT